AAGCCATTTTTAATTGAGTATCTCAGTCTCATACACGTCTAAAGGATGGATTATAATTATTATGAATGACTCAATTAAAACACAAGTAGCAGATGATGCAGTGTCACATTAGAGTGTTGAATGTTTGTCCAACAGGCAGCTAAGTTAAGCATTATACAAAAATGAATGGGCTCAGGGGAAAAGTGACTAATGGTTACTTTGCTCTGTTTACTCACTTCCCCTCCATCCCTTTGAGTCTGCTCCCTGCTTGTTTTTACTAATTAAGCAGATACAGGTTTAATCAATCAGTCAGACAGGGAAATTGAAATGATAGAAATACTTCCAGTGCCCTTAATTTTAAACTTTAGCCTTGAAAAGATTTGACATTTGAGTTTTTTTTTTTGTTTTTTTTTTAAACAATTCATCCCCTCTCGGCCCTTGAATCCACAGGGGAGAGCAGTATGGTCTTGGTGTGTATGCGAGTTACTGCTCATTCATACATTCGTGTTACATTCCCCAAGATGGCTAGGGGATGAGGAGAGTAACAATAAATTATAATCCAGGAAAAGAAATAGGAACTAAGCTAAGTTAGAATGGACTTATTAAAAAAAAAAAAAAAAAAAAAGGACTAATACAAAATGTGCCACACAAGAGAGAAGCCAGGCTATCTCAAACACAAAAACTAACAATCAAGATATAAACAATAAGGCCTTAATCAGAACACAATCCTTCCACAGAAGGATCACACTAAATTTGTCGACGTCAAAGACACACGCAGTCCAACGACCCACTGGCAACTGGCAGCCTCCTCTCTCCTGCTCTTCATAGTTTGCTCCTGATTAGTAATTAGCCACAGGTGTGGCTGGGCACTCTGAAGCTGAGGAGCAACACCTGGGGAGTTTCTCCTCCTTCGCCTCTTCTTCAGGTTTGGTGTGGCTGGACCTGAACACACAGTTGGAGGAGAAACACTTTCCTGTCCACCGAGATCCTCCTGATTCAGTGGCACTTGAGGAGCAGATAGCGGCTGCTCCAACACACCTTCAGGCTCACCTGAAGCACAGTTCTCAAGGTCACCAGCAGGTGATGACCTCTCTTCATTTCCCGTAGGAAAGACTTCACAGGTTAAGACAACATATTTTGCACACATTAGGAGCCATGGACTCAACACAAGGAGAAACATTTTTGGTCCTGTTCACACCCTTGGACTTAAATTTCCAAAACTGACATTTACGTTTCAGAGCAAAACAATCAGCGATCAGGTGACCAACTTTATGACATAGAAACTTTTCCTATCTGACTTAAGGCTTTGAGGTGCAAGTTTAGGCAATTTACACTCACAAAGACTACCTTGTTGGTTAAGGCAATCTCCTCTGCCAGAAATGCAGCTTCCTGTAAGGACGTTACCTTTTGTCATTCCAGGTACAACACAGTTTGCTCTGAAACACAATTTTTAAAGTCTTCCAACAACATAAGTTGATACACAAGTCAGTAGCTTTGCTAGCTCGGCACCATTTATCCAAGAGTTTTCTCTTAAATGTGGCAATGCGCTCAAACACAACTTCAGCCTCTTCAAAAACAGGAACAAGAGAAGTATGTTCTGTTATATAAAAATGAATTTCAGAATCCAAAGAGGAGCACGGACAACCAGAAAAAACTGAATACATCGTTCCTACACTATCGGAAATTACAAGACACTGGGAGCGAACAATGCCTTATCACTAAGCCACTGCTAAATGTACCAAATCGAATCAAAGAGAACCGGCTGCGGTCCACTCACCTCTCTAATGAACCAGGTAAAGATGATGCAGGATGCCAAACTAAATCACAGAACACAACTAGCAAACACACAAACACAACTTCCTCAGAACCTGCCTAACACAAACTCACCAAACTGTCTCCTGGGACCTGTCGGGCTTGTGGTGAATTTAAAGGATAAACAATAAGGCCTTAATCGGAACAAAGTCCTTCCACAGAAGGCTCACACTAAATCTCTTGTCAAAGACACACGCAGTCCAACGACCTACTGGCACTGGCACCCTCCTCTTTCCTGCTCTTTATAGTTTACCCCTGATTAGTAATTAGCCACAGGTGTGGCTGGGCACTCTGAGGCTGAGAAGCAACACCTGAGGAGCACACACAGCAGAGAGAAAACACACACAAAACTACAGCATGTAACAATTTGTTTTGCAGATGAACTCAATGCCAAGACCAACAAGTCATTATTGTGAAACAGGGAGACGTTTAGTTATGCCATTCTCTTGATGCTTACTTGCTATAGCCTGTTTTCATCAGCTGTGCAAGCTTGGCTGAAGAAATAGTATCTCATAATTATTATTTGAAATTCATTCAACAACTACAGGTTGGACAGATGCACAGATGTTCATGGTCCCTGGAGGATAATTCCGACTCACACGGATGATCCCATGACTTTAACCTCTCCTATGATGTTTTCATTTGTGGATGTGAGTGAAATGTTTCAACAGCTATTGGTGTAATTTTTGTGGAATTTGGTACATACTGTCTTATCTTATTTGAATTGGAATAAGATTCCAATCAAACTGTACTTTGTGTTTGTTTATTAGGAAAGCCAAAGCCAAGATTGCTGATATACTAAATTAATATAATAAACATAGTGAATATAACCCTTACATCTTGTGTTGTTACACAAAATTAGTTCCAGTCTGCAACAATTTTTGGTATCACAGCCTCTAGTCAGAACAACAATTTGGAAAGTCTGCAAGAATCTTGCTAAACAACTTGCAAAGCTGACATCATATCCTGCAGAAACATCTTCAGAATTTGGTCGAAAACGTTGTTATACCAATTATTTGCTCACATGTAATGTATAGACATTTAGGCTTTATAAGTTGCTTTCCGCATAGATTGATCTAGTTTGGTTCAAAAATATATTCATGCAATAAGAGCCTATTCAAGCAGTTTTAGTAGTTAGTTTTTTATGGGATGCACTGCTAAAGCAAGAAGTCTTGGACAAAATCAGAGTATCAAAAAATTACAAAAACTGAGCAGAGCTATTAACACAATTTTGTTTAACCTTTAGCTGTAGTCAGTTAAATTAACTAGACATTTGGAGGTCTTCCGGGCACGACCAGCTGTGAGGAGAACTTGGGGTAGAACCCAGAGCTCGCTGGAAGAATTTGAACTGAATGAATCCCCAACTTAGGGAACACAATAATCCAACTTGTGTGTATATGCTAAACATCGGCAAGTTAGCATTGAACAGTACATTAAGCATTCTGATGTTAGCATTTAGCATTAAGGGTAGCTTCATATGGCCTCTGTATGACTGCTAAACTTAAGCACGTTAGCATTGTAGGTGTCAGGATGTTAGTATGCTTAATATCTATTATCATGAGAACGTAGCCCTTTAAAAAGTAATCTTGTTCAGACTTGTTCATGAACGCCAGACTCAACATTGTTGTATAAGAATGACTTTCAGTACTTCATGGAACAGTATTGATAACTTGTCCAAATATCCTGAGAAATGTTTATTTGTGAACGTGCAATGCCCACCTGACACATTAAATAATAAGTCTTTTAACTTTGTTTTCCCCCTGAGGAGTCATTAATCACACAGATGCCTCTTGCATGCCTTTTTTTTAGAACCAGCACTAAAATGTGAGGATAAATATCAAGCAGGTCACCATTAGTTTGAAGTTAAGGTCAAATGAGGATAAAGTAGAAATAAACACTGCAGAATCCCAAGTGAACTGTTCATTTTGTTTTAAAGGAAGTCAATCAAAAGAAATCACATGGCTGAATAAATGCAATCAACCCATACAAACAGATGTGTTATGAACATTTCTGTTCGAACACACTCAAAAATGTTAGTAGGCTTAGATGATTTGAGAGAAATCAATAAAAAAAGGGTCGCTAAGTGAACAAACAATCACAAACAGAGTCTTACATCTTGGACTGTCGAAGCTATTGTGCGGTAATTAAGTCAGTGAAAGCCTTTGTGTAATGACGTTCATACATTCTAGTGCTGCCCTCTGCCTTTTGAACATATAAACCTGGGGATCTGGTATCTTAATGGTTCGCTTTCTACACAGATGTTTCAGATTCTAGTTAAGAGACTATCCAAGTATACATGGAATTTGAAAACGGGGAATCAGTTGTTATATCCATAATTCTTAGATAAGAATTATTTTCTCTCTTATTGCTTTCCAAACACTTCAATCAAACCTTTATCTTGATGCCTGTAAGCATACAAGGTTTCAACACACATGTTAAAAAGGTGCCAGAGCTGGGCTTGAAACTTGTGTGTTAAGTGAATATTAGGGTAAATAATAAGTTGCATAAATTCATGATTGTGCTTGTTTCTGTCGCTCTCATTCAAGCACTCAATAACATTAAGCTTTTGCACCAACACATCCCATAAGATTTGCTCTGTGTAGGACAGGTCCTCTGATTGAGCTGTTTGTTTTAAATCATTGTAGACACATTTTTTCGGTTTGGTTTCAGGAGCATTAATGGGGCCACAAGTGGGGATCTTGTGTTACCATTTATTCTAAAAAAACACTGCTGTGTGTTATTCAGTTGAGTACAGTTACTGAGTAACTGTACTCAACTGACAGTTTGACAGTCGACTTTTGGAATTGCACAACACTGCTTTGTTGATGGCTTTGACTCATAACTACAATCTACCTGACTTAAACAATCCCTGCAAGAGATATCCTATTCCATGATTCAAGGATGAATATCATTGTTTAAACACCTTTTTTCGCAACATTCACACTGCAACAAGCACCAAGCCCATTTGATGATGAGTCAGTCTGGTGAATGAGTCTATAAAAGACACTGGAGAAGTCTTTGGAATGACAGAAACTAGTTTCCTCTGTGGGAGCTAAAGCAAGATTTTTTCCTGTATTGGGCAACAAGGATAAAGGCCTAAGTTTCTACCTGTAGGCGAGGAGGAAAACTGTGCAGCAGTGTCAGCTTTCTCTGTTCTCACTTGTGATAGTATCAGGTGTACTTTGAACAGGCTTGTGTTTGGTTAAAACTAGCCTCACGCAGAAATGGGTGGGGTAATGTGATGTGTGCTTGAAGAGACAAGGTGAAGTCTTCTATTAGTGTTACATGCTCAGGCAAAGGACAGGCTTGAATGGAATATTTTCTTCGAACGAAGAAGTCAACACAAGCCAAAGGATTAGCCTCTTCTTGGATATAATTGATTAAACCACAATGGATACAGCCAGTGATACAACAAAAATCCTGGAGAAGGGTCCTGAGTACCTAAGAAAGCAAATGGAGCTGGAGAGTGAGACGAAAGGACACATGAGTGCTGTGGAGAGGCTCGCTGCCAGCAAACTGAAATACGTCAAAAGCCTACAGGTGGTCAACTCCACTCAGGAGCCTGTGATCAGCATTGGATCCGGTTCTGTGAGCAGCACTGGGTCTTCTAATCGGAGCTCCAACCGTAGCGGGAATTTTAACACCTCAAATGCCTCAATTGCAGCTACTTGTGGTTCACTTAACTCCTCACCGGTGCAGGTACGTCGGTCGAGCTCCAAAAATCGACCAGACTCACTTCTAATTTACAGACAGAAATGTGAGTTACTGAGAGGGTCAGCAAACAGTAGAAAACACCGTAGAACATTCAAGCTGCAGCAGAAAAATTTTCCTTTACCAGAGGCATCAGATAAAGAGACTGAAGGTGGGGTCACAGTGAAAATCACCACACCTGAGGGAACAGCAAAGGAATGCAGCTCTCATACAGATGTGAGGAGGAGAAACGGAGAAGGAGAACAACAATGTTCAGGAAACAGTGATTCTTGGACAAAGGTGACTGGTGGGAACAAATCTGCTGTTCTGCTTGCGGTTCCTGAGGTTGAAAGGAGGCCTGGAAAAGGGGTCAGTCGATCACACTCCGACATCAGCTCCAGGTACTCCAAAAACTTTGCAGACTTTGATGCTTTTTTCAAGTACTGCGGGCTGGACGGTGAGGTCATCGAGTCTTTGGGTAAGAAGAACTTCTCCTGTCACTCCGACGAAATATCTATAACCATCCGTAGTGCCAGTGTCTCTACAGACGACGGGACTTTCTCCAGGCACAGCGGTGGCAGCGACGGGCTGCAGAAGGATGAGTTACAAGAAAAGATACATCAGGGGACGTCGGTTATTGAGCGCAATGCACGGATTATCAAGTGGCTATACAGCTGCAAAAATGCCAGTGAGACTGGGAAAAAGTTAAGAGATCTGGATTGAGATTATCAATCTTTTTTCTACAGAGGCCACATAAGCAAAAACTATTGTTTCTGAATGACAAAAGCTAATGCAATTTTACGCTTAAAATGTTGCATGTGTCTGTGTGTCTATGGGCATATATCATTGTTTTATTTGTATGTGAGCGCCAATATCAGCACACACCTGTTAGAAGAAAGTCAGATTTAGCATCTTTGCTTTTGTTCAAACTTCAATAGCTGTCAAACATACAGCAAAAAAACCCCAATTAATTTCATTTTATTCTCGTAGTGTTATCTTGTCACGTGCAATGACACACAGATTTGTCACACAGCTGCAGGTCGAAGGTCAAAACTATGTGCGTATTTGCACACTTGGATACATTTCAATAGCAGCAGTGATATTAACTAACATGAGTTAGTGGCAAAAAATACAGCCACAATGATAACTAATAAAAAAAAAAAAACACATTCATTTTCAATTTATGGTACATTTATTATTATTTTTTCTGTTTTGTTTTTTTGGTCCAGATCCTGCATGATAGTTGATGAAAAATATTTTTTTAAACTGGCAACCAAAAGATTTGTTGTTAATTAGTCTTACAACAGACCTATGAAACATGTATACATAATCTGTCATCACTTTAAAAACGACTTGCTATGTATGAAACAGTCATAAAAGGTAGTATTAATAGAGAGTGCAATTCTAGATGAAGGTCTACAGCACGTGCGATAACATAAAAATTCATTCTGAAAAATAAATTCAGCAGGAAATGGGGCCAGTAAAAACATGAAATATGCGACCTGTCTTTTTAATCCAATGAGTGTAGTTCTCTTCACGTGAAAGGTAAACATTCCATCATAGACACACACACACACACAAACAAATATTCACAGTTACTTTAACTGTTACTGAAAAAGTGTAAGTGAGAAGAATCTGGCCCTCCCAAATTGTGGTTCCAAGATTTGCATTAAGAGTAAAAGAAAATATTTCTAAAGCAATCAGATTTAACTACAGCCAGACACAAACACTTATAAGTTGTGGTTATTTTCCAGCCAAAGAATCATGTTCGCACAGTTTTGTGTGAGAGGAATGTACTTAATAATCTGATAGGCTTAAATCCAGTGACCTGTGTAACTGTATCTCCACTTCCCTCCCAATCTGTGTCTGTGTTTTCTCCTCTCCACTCTCTCCCTTTTGTCTTTTAGCCAAACTTTCTTTACAGATCAAAGCTGTGAGGCTGTAACATGAGCGAGGGAAAAATCAAATGACAGACTGATCCAATTATAACCCATTCTGTTTCTCTCACACACATGCAGCAATAAACAATATATATATATGAGCAGTTGTACCGCTCAGCAGCACTGTGGAAGACACACATTCCATTTCTCCTGAGGCCTGACTGCCTAATTCAATTCCAAGCAAGTCATGTCCTGCCTTCTCTACATGTGCTGCCAGAACTTGCTCAGATGTTGCTATCAGGTTGTGTTTCAGTAAGGATCTAAATTGCACTTTTCTTCAGTAGAATAATAGTAGGCTATGCGTTTCAATCTACAGATATGTATCGAAATTGCATGACATGTGAATACTGGCTAAAAATTTCAGAAACTTACAATTCTGAAGGCTTTTAAGTGCCTTTGTTATTGTACTTTGAACATATAAACCTGTGGATCTGGTAGGAAGATGTGCGCTCAGATTTTACTGTAAAAGCTTTGGCAGATGTAAATGAAACACTGTTCTATGGGTTTGGTGCTGACATGTGCATCATCTTATACTGGAGTATTTGCGAAAAATGCTACACAAATAAAGTGGTTGATAATTGTTCTTAGAGTATTGTTTATTAAGTGTTCTCATGGTGAAAAGCTGTTGCACATCTCGTTATATATTTAAGGCAGGTCCAAAAAAAAAATAGAGACAGCCTATGATGACTCAACGATTGAAAGAATTTGTTGTTGAATAAAAGTTTGATAATGTACCTACTGAGTTTGAATCTGTTATCAGGCCAACACTACTAATCCTCTGACTCTGATCACATACACTAACAGTATTATAGTTATTTACAATGCCAACCCCCCCAAAAGGTTTCAAGTGATACTGTACACACATCAAGCCAAGCCAGAGCAAATAAAACATGAGTCACAGATTAGTCAGTTTCACAGAAAGCTGACAAATCAAGTTCCCATAATAAGAGGCCAGTGGCATGGGAATACTATAACTGTTGAGGACACCTAAAGCTTTAAAATACTTTATTATAAATATTATGCAATTGTTTTTGCCTATTAAATATATTACTCAGCTGTTGTCCACTTTGTCAAGGATGTACATACATTCACACTTGAGATGGAGTATAGAGACTCTGGCAGTGTAATGCTGAACCTTTTATGAAGATGCACACGATAGGCCGTATGTTTTAAGTGAAATAAAATTGCCTAATTTTAAACTTGTGAACATTTCCTTTTACTATTTTCTTGATAATGTAAAAATATATTGTAATGATATGAAAATGCTTTTTTTTGTGCCTTTTAATGGAGAGATAGGACAGTGGATAGAGTGAGAAATCAGGGAGACAGTAGGGTATGACATGCAGGAAAGGAGCCACAGGTGGGATTCGAGCCTGGGTCGCCCGCTTGGAGGAGCAAAGCCTCCATACATGGGGGGCGCACACTAACCACTGCGCCACCAGCACCCCTGAAAATACATTTTAAAGTAAATGTTAAATACTGGAATACGGATGTATTGTCCTGAACTAAAAGTGCCAATCTTTTATAGGCTATATGTAGTAAAAAAAAATAATTTAAATAGGCTAGTTTAAGATTTCAAAATAATGTCAAACTCCATAAGCATTGGAGGTAGCCTACTTCTCAGCTTTGTGAAACATACTGTTAACACTTCAGACATTTCAGCCTGGCTTGAACTTGCTCATGTTTTGACATGGGCAGAGAATTCATGAAAGGCAAAAATGCTTATGTGACTATTGAACTAAGAAACAATATGACAGAGATGTCATTCATGTATTATCCTTATAAAGCACTTAAACTCTATCATCACATCTGTGTTCGTTTCGGCCACAGCATCATCATCAGTCACACACAGATGTCCTGTGGTTTTGTTCCCATCCTCCATCACAAAAGCAAAACAGAAGTACATGTGCGCAGGCTACTGTCACGTGTACAAGAAAGCCCCAACAAAACAGAAGGGATGAAAAAAAGAACATGAGTGACGGCCACGGCCAGCCAATCAGCGACGCAACACTGGGTAGCAACAAGATAAATACTGGCGATTTGTCCAATCAGAAACAGCAGGGGCGTGGGCGAAAGCTTGGGTCCGCACTGTGTGTTTACTTCCGTCAATATTTCCATCAAAGCAGGCAGGAGAGACAAGAAAAAAAGCGAAGACGGAGGATACAACAAGGGAGTCGCTTTTGGTAGGCTGTAGACATTTAGCACTCGTTTAATGTTAAGATGCGGTCGTTTATTTTCTTCATATGGTGATTTTTGTTCGTAGATCCAAGTGACATCTTTTCTGTTTCCCATTTTGGACCTAAAAAAACAACAACTATTTTTTCTAACGCTGTTGTTTTTATCATGTAAATGCGTCCTAGTCATCATGTCAGTTGTGTTATTTGAGCAATTTGGCCTCGTATGTTATTTTAACTTCTCAATGTCAACAATAGGAGTAAAGAGCAGTTGTTGTCAGACAATAACCTGTTATGTTATAGCCTGTGTAGTTTTGTCCTTGACTGCTTAAGGCCATAGCATAGACCATAGGTTGTTTTTTTTTTGTCTTAAGTAAAACAGGAATGAACACTTGTGTTTTAATTTGATATTTTACTGTATTTAAAGCATTGTAGTATTTAGAAAATGTCAGTATATTTTGTTGAACCCGTGTTATTTAAATGCACCGATGTTTCATCTGGTGCAATTTCATAAAACCTGTTCACTTAGGCCTATAAAAGTGTTCACTCAAACTGACACAGGACTCAAGTGGTGTCTTGGATGAAGCTTTAACCCATTTTTAAGATGGGATAATTAATTCAAGCATGTCGAATCTAGTTTTTGAAAATTTGAATATTAATTTGAATTTGTAACCCTTTAGTTCATGTTTGAACTAAATACGCTGTTTCAGTATTAATTGATGGCTACATCTCTCACTACAATATACAGCATGTCATAATTGTCTAATTTCCTCTCCAAGCAGCTCAAAGATAAAAACATGCATCTTGTCCCCTTCCTCAGGTAAAATGCCTTTCTTAGGCCAAGACTGGAGGTCACCAGGATTGAGCTGGACAAAGACCGAACATGGCTGGAAGAGGATTGTCTTCTATGGACACGAGTTGGATGATGACAACAGAGAAATAGAGTTGACAGAGTAAGAAACATTTTTCACCCATTATCATGTTTAGCTTCCTTTTTAATCGCTCTTTTCACTGTTACTGCCCATGCCAAACTCTATAAATGTAATGAGTCAGTGCTTTTCCAAGTAATATTTGGTTTTACTTGGCCATACGTGCATCATTTAATTACATAGTTCAGTGTGCTAAAAGTACAAGACCATTTTTTTCCCCCTTAAGTTGTGTTTCTATCTCGAGCTTAATCAGATGCTTTGTCAAATATATTCCAGGGCTGGACAACAATTCAATGCAGCATTCTTTTGACTTTAATTCTGATTAAGACTTTTTTTAAATTACATTTAATCTCACTTGTATTTTTTGACTTAAAAATCCAAAATATTGTGGCGTCACAACATTGTGCACATCTATACTTCCCTCCCATAGTATTTTTCCTTACTCTAAAAAGACAAAAAATGTGCATATAATATTCTCAAGGAACTTAAAAACAATATTTTGTATGGGTATCTGAGCTAATCAGCTGGAGGTTGTTAAGGATCTTACCATAGTTAACAAACACAACCAGGACATCACAACACCTGGTGTGTGAGCACTGACTAGTGATGACTAGAAGTTAGATGTTTTGACAATGGATATGGTGAGCTAGAATGTGTGTTAATACCTGGGTGCAAACCAAACACACTTACTGATACCCCTACACCCATTCTAATAGACCATCAGAATCTGAGGGCTGACCTTTGCTATGCTTAACAGATCCAGGCAAACAAGTGACAGTGACAATAACAATCTTAAACTTCTTAAACCAAATTGCATGAATAAGCCGTTGTGTCTCAGCATCAAATGAAAAGTTATTCAGCTGACTCTCACCACCAAGGCAGAGAGTCTTTGATGCGGTGATTTGCATCCCACAATTGCAGCCTTCTGTTGCCAAAGGGGCGTTGTGGCAACAGACAGCCAGAGTATAGGGTCCGTTTTAGACTTTAAGAAGGTATTTTTACATGAGACCTACTTGTCAGTGTAACCTGTTCAGCATGTCAACAGTATCACAGTGAAAGACGTGTTTGATTCGAAATGTCTAACGTTTTACCCGATCTAGACAAGAGTCTGAAGTATTGAGGTCAGGTATTGTTTGAGGGAACTGAGGTGAACGTCTTCTGCAAATCATTACCTCGAGGCAATATCAGATAAGGCGTTAATATGTTTTTAACACAAAGTGTAAAAAAGAAGTTGTGGTAAAGCCTTGATAAACAGAATTATACCTGATGTCTCTAATGAACAAAGCTCCACTCCATAGTTCCATTTCCCCACGACAGGAGAGTCGGGGGGAAACAAGAGCGCATTAGGGCACAAACTCTAAAATTTAAAAACACAGTAGTTTGCCTATTCATAGTTTTGATGTAAAAAAAGCATCATTAAGGACTCAAATGTCTCTATAGGGAAATTAGATTTTAACCCAGTGAATAAAAAACAAACATACTCCATGAAAACAAATAACAACACAACATACAACAGCTGCAATTCCATGTATTCGTTTCTGTATAAATAAACACCTTTTGTTCAGTATTTAGATATTCATGTACAGTATATATCTCCTGGAGTTACTCTTGGATGATTGCAACACATGAAACATGTGACTCTATCACGGGTATTGTTGCTTAAAGTTGTGAATTGAATGTTAACATCAGTTCATCTGTCCCTCTGAAAGGCGTCTAGCTGTTTAGAGACTTAAATGGCCTATGTTTGTTGAAAGAGTCAAACTAAAAACAAGTTCTGCTATTTCAGTCTGTCTGCTTTGTATTACATGTCACTGTGGGCAGTCTGGGTACCTCCCAGCTGGAGAGCTCTCTGTTATCAGCAGGAAACATGTCCGTTTGAAGTATGCCATCTAGAAGTCTCACAAAAGAAAAGGAGGTTCCCGTTCTTATTGACCCTCATTCTGTTTATTAGCCTCTTCTCTTAGCATATTCTGTCCTCTTTGCATTTATCCTCCTACCTTTCAAAGTTTGGATTAAAAATCGAATTTCCCTTTTCATGAAATCAGGGCTAGACTAAAGATTTTTATTTTTATTTTTATTTTTTTAGATATTTTGTCTCTGAATACATCAAATATGACAGTTCTTTACAGATGACGTTATCTGGTGTTACTGCTAGTAACCAAGAGCTTAACAGTGCATCATTACAAATATATATTTAATAGACAAAGGTATATTTTAAAGGGCTACAACCTACATTCAGTCAGAGTCCTTTTTACTTAGATTCTCAAGTTGAACCATGTGCCTAACCTCTCTAACTTCATAGGGTTCAAGGGTCACCCTTTTAATATGAAAAATTAGGATAGAAGACTCGTAAAAGAAAAAGCAGGCAGCTATCCAATCAGTGTTAATGTGCACATGATGCTATACCATGAAATAAAGTGGAAGCAGAAATAACAGCAAAACAGGGTGGCTCATTTAGTTTGTAATGACTAGAGCATTGGAGTGCATAAGACATTATAAAAATAAAATACAAATTATAGTAATCAAAAATGATCATTCCTGGCTAATTGTAATTGGAAATAGAAATATCAGTAAGTAAAGGATTTGTAATTAAAGTAGGTCAACTTGTGAGTGTGTGTCCAGTGAAAGCAGCAACACCTTTGTGTAAGCACAAGTGCTCAGCAGTGTTTGTCTGATATAGCCATCTGTTGATGAGCAGGCCTGACTTTCACTGTGAGTGGCATGCTGGTGTCCTGCACTGGTCATCACGGGGTTAACAGTAGACTCTCTGCACCAGCGTGCGATATCTCCCTCACGTCACTGAGTCCCCCTTTCTATTGATCAGCCAGCAAACATTACTCACAGCCCCACATTAGCTTGTCAGCAGTTTTTTCTCTAAAAAGTACGGGACACGGCATCAGACAATAACTTGTGACATCATCTGTTCGGATTGGCCGCTCTCCAAACGAAGCTCACTCAGAAAGGCCCGTGACATCATTCCATGGAGGTACACTTGGCAGAAAGAAAGGAGAGCTTTATGATGGTCAGTGTACCAGTGGCATAGTACACAGTGTGTAACAAAAGAAGTTTAGATTCATCTCTTAATGTCCGAAAAGGGACTAAATTGTTCATCTGACTTGCACTTAAAAAGTATGTAAGGAATGGAACTTCAGTTAATTTCCCGCAATAATTAAGAGATGTGAAATAGCTACATTTCAGGCAGGTACATTTGTTTTCTCCCTTGTTCATAGCTTTCTACACAACTTCTTTGGCTCATGTATTTCAGGATTTAAACATGCACAAATCCCTGTGAACATCCCTGCTGTTGTTTGATGTCTTTTATTGGCTCTGTGGAGGTTGATGCTACACATGCACTGGGTGTAAAAGAGCCAGGCTACTGCTCTTCCTCCTTGTAATTCACTGTGGCAGATTGCTGGGCTTGCATGTGTGTTTGTGTGTATGCCCGAACAATTGGATAAACGGATAGAGACCAGGGATTACTGTTTAGCACATTCACCCTGTTGAAGTCGCAGTCAGACAACAAAAGACGCGCATTCACTTATGCTGGAGTAACATTCATTTGGTGATGTTAATACTTCATCTGGCCACAGAAAGCTCATAAAACAAACACAGCCCTTCTTCATTAGGATACATTTTGTGTTGTATGCATACTCATAAAGCAGATTTCCGTATCTACCTTTTCTTTATCTGATTAAATCTCACATTTGAAGGTGGGAAGCTGTTGAGGGATTGTTGCCCTTCTAGTGAAGTCTGCAAATAGTTTGGGCACCATGTGCTGATAGCTTTATTACCTCATCAACAACAACAAAAAATATCATTATCATTTACTGTGCTGATCATTTTCCTGATAAGTCTTTTTTAATATAAAGGTCAGAAATCAGTCCAATATGCCCATTGTAATGGCTTTGAGTCAAAAGAAAGGAACTGAAATGTGTTGTTTTATCTGACCCATATTAAAACACTCTGTCATGATGCTTTTGATGTCTTGTGTGAAGCACTTTGAATTGCCTTGTTGTTGAAATGTGCTATATAAATAAACTTGCCTTGCCTTGCCTTGAGGTATTAAAGTATTGCCATGTATGCAAAGAATAGCATCATTTCATCACATGTGAAAAGCAGGATCCTTCAGATGTTGGATCATTTTGACTCAAATAAAAAAAACATTACCCCAATGGTTCCCAGTTTACTGTTAAATAGACTGATTGTTTAAGCATTAAACAACTGTGCTCTCAGTGAAACTCCTTGTTAAGCTTTAGCACAACAACCGCAAATATTGACAAATAATCTGCATTAAAAAAACTATTAGTCAAATGCATGTTTACAAATATTTATAATATTTCACATCTCAAATATTAGATTGAATAGTGTTAATAGAAGTAGTTTGGTATCAGTCCCACTGCTTGTTACATATTTTGAAGGTATTCTTTTTCACTATAATCATCTGACCAAAATATTTTGCCCCTGGAGTTGGTAGTTCTGCCAGTCTGCTGCTGAACGTCAGCCAAGAGATTATGAATGCATGGAGAATCAATAACCAGCCATCCACCGCTTCAATCTGCCAGTTAAAGGTCAGAAGAGAATGGATAGCTGTAGAGAAACAAGTGAAGCTTGTCATGGAATATCATTTTACTGGCTTGTTTATTTGGGAGAAAAAAAACATACATTCACAGACCCTCATAAACACATTCTGGAGTTAACATTTATCCATTATATTAACATGTGCTCACAAATGTAATGCTTTCAGTTGTGTTTCTGTTGCAGTTGAGCCAATTTAAGCCTCCCATGTCAAGATATGTCAACTCGAGGCCAAAAAAGATCTACATAAATAAAGATCTATCTTATCAGTTATGAGGAGATCACTTGTCAAACATGCAGGCCAGAGAAATGCTGCCAGAAATAACAGAGATCAGATTAAATCTGTTAATGTTTTGCAAGTTTACTGAGAAAACAGTGTCAGTTATTTTGTCTCTAGTATCGTATTAGTTCCATCTGTGGTCATTCTTACATTATAAAGCCACTTGAAATAATTTTCAGTTAAAATGTTGTCTGTTCTGAATATAACATCTCTCTTTGCCTGCTTATGATCCTGATTGGTCCAGAAATACAGCAGCTAGTTTATGAACTGGAATACATTATGTATCTTCTTATTGACTCTCTGTGCCGTTAAGAGATGCTTCTAATGTTCAAGTGAAACATTTGCTGGTCCTGTAAAGCCAAACACACTGCACCACATTAACTGCTGAGACCCCAGCAGGTACCTCTACAAAGTGATATATACAGGACATATAGATAAAGTCACAGGACGCTTCAGCAGAGCTTAATCTGTGGTGTGTTATGAAATGTATCACAGATGCATTAGTAACACTTTCATGAAATGTTATTAGCATATTCCACCTATGCTTCTTCTTCTTCTTCTCTCTAAACAGGCTCTGCAGTGACAACAAAGAGAATCTGTTTGTTGGGGATGTGTGTGAGCTCGCCACCACAAAGAGGAAAAAGGACTTCTACAACAACAACACCAAATCTCAGTGTGAGTTTCATTAACACATGATCCCTGTTCTGGCTTTGTGAAGAGCTTATGGTTCAAAAATTAAAGGCGCTTTGTTCAAAACAAGTCATAATTTCCGACGGGGGCCGCCACATATTGAAAACTTAGGGTCAATTTCAGCAGTTCAGGATGTAATGCTTAGTAGTGCTCTGCGTCTCCACAGATAGGCTCTAAGCAGTGAACTCTTTGGTGCGATATAAGTGAATACATTATCTGTATTTTAGCACTTCAGTACAATTTGAATGGAGCTGTACCCTGCTTGTGGTCACAAACACCCCTAACACTTCTTCTTCGATGTGTTTGTTTTCTCCTTCAGTTGTTTTCAGGGATAAATGGATCTATGTGCAGAAAGGAAGCACAAAAGAGGTGAGTGCTGCAGCTGTTACTAGATGTATTCCAGGAGATTACGATTTACGTTATTGCAGTTGATGAAACGAGGCCTTTTTTTTTAATGTAATTGTTTTCTGTTATTTTTAATGTTAACACAGCGACATGGATACTGCACGCTCGGTGAAGCCCTCAACCGTTTAGACTTTTCCAGTGCCATTCAGGACTTGAGAAGATTCAATTATGTTGCAAAGGTGAGCAATAACTTTTCGAATGAGGATCCTTTTGAAACTATTGAGCGACGACTCCTCTAACATGTCTTACTCTCTTGCTTTCCAAAAGCTCTTCCAGCTAATAGCCAGGTCCCAGCTGACTTCTTTGAGTGGAGCTGCCCAGAAAAACTATTTCAACATACTGGAGAAGATTGTACGAAAGGGTAAGAATACAAAGATAGACCAGGTGTACATTTTTGAGCTTGTCATTTTAACTCGGACTCTAATAAAGCCTCATGTTGTGTAAGTTCAAATTTTCAACAGAAGGAACGTTTCATTGCTAGATTGGGAGATTCTGAGCAATCAGATAATTTATTTATAGACTATTTAGAAACATAAGTGTTACTGCAATGAATGTCCAACCGCAAAACCTGTAGGACCAGTGTGTTCGGTCATTATGGGGTTGTTTTGCCTGGTGCAGAACTAGTCTGCCACATTTATGAGGTGAAACTCCCTCTAAATCATCAACTGTATCTATTCTAAATTTCTATCATTTTTCCCTTTTGTGATCTTTGGGTCTGAAACATAACCGGTCTGTTAGGGGGTTCATTAGTCTATAAGCAGGTATTTTGGAAGTGGTTAGATGTGTTTGTATTATGTTGGTTTTGTTTTATTGCAGCATATGTTTTTTTTCTTTTTATCATCAGAATTTGTATCTAAATCTTTTACTGCTTCTATTGTTTGAATTTATTTTACTGCTTTGTGTCCATTTAAGGCTTTAGCTTTTTTTGTTTCTCATTTTATAACTTCTACCCCACCATATTGTTTCTATTTCTAATTGTTTTTATTTCTTATTTTTTCTATCTCTATACAATTCTCTTATTTTATTTTATAGTTTGTATCCCCCCCTTATTGTTTCCATCTCTTTATTTCCTATTGTTGTATTTCTTTGAACTGCTTATTTATCGTCTTACAATTTATATAGCTGGGTTCCTGTGGTACCTGGGTTATTATTATGTTACCTGGGTTCTTAAAGTGTTTGGGTTACTGATGTTGGCTGGGTTGTGTTTGGGTTCGTTAACTGTTGCTTGCCAACGTGTCAAAGCACTTTGTAAACCCTTGTTTTTTAAAGTGACACACAAATAAAGTTATTATTAACTGTTTGTTTTTTAAATGTCACTTCTAGTTCTAGAGGACCAGTACAACCCACGCCTTGTCAAGCAGCTGCTGCAGGACCTGAGCTCCACCCTGCACAGTCTGACCATCCATGTAGGCAGGTGTGTCCTCGTGGGCAACGTCAACATCTGGCTGTGTCGACTGGAGACCATTCTCAAGTGGCAGCAGCAGCTCAACAACCTGCAGATCCCAAAGGTAGACCGTGTTCTGCTGTTTGCTTGTGTAGTTTTATTGGACTGGGTGTTTGTTTGTGTGATTTTTCATTGCATGTAACTTAAGCCAAAACTTATTACAGCTTGTGCAAGCCTAAAAACACCTGCAGTCCATGTTCAGTTTGATGTGTGTAAAAGTGCAGTAGATATGCATTTACTGCTCATGCTTGTAAGCCAATTTTCATAAGAGAAACATGAAACAAGGAAGGGGAAAAATTCCTTTTTTAGTTTAAACTGATCATTTAATGATCTACTGTGTTTGAATCACAACCACATCCCCAGTGGAAAACTGCAACATTTCACCTTTTGTTACCATTAGATATATTTTTCACTAACAAGCGCTTCATTTAAAATATTGTCTCTTTGTTTTCTTCCCAGCAAATCTGTGATGGCATGTCATTCAATGACTTACCGCTATACATGCAGAACCAGATCCTCTGCAAGTTATCTGATGCCTATGACATCATTAACCTCGGACAGGCCACGCCCACTCTGCATTGCCTCAGTGAGAACAGGGTGCTGTGGAAGAAACTCTGCCACTTCCACTTCTCAGACAAACAGGTAAGAGAGAGCAGATTTAGTATGTTAGGCATAAATTAGGACAAAGTCTTGGTTTAATAATTATTTTAAAATGTATGTTTCAAGTGTATTTAAAACTTGATTTTTAGTTAAGCATTTAAGGAGATTGCTGTTCCACCAGGCTGCTAAGTAGTTTACCTTTTGACCACTAGATGGCAGCATCGTCCCGAGTTGATCATCTTTCACAGTAATCACCATTTCCTTCGCTCTCTCTCAAACGCAGACATGCGCACACACACACACACAGGCAAACATACACACATTCACACACAGAATTGGTGTTAATGAGTAATTGCCCTTAATTATAGCTAATACCACTTTGTGCCAGTTATAATTACATTCATGTCCCCTGTGTTTGAATTGTGTTTTAACTCTTATTTTTCCTTCCATCTGTTGGCAGTACTGTAGGAATCTGGTCCTTACAAAGAGCGGTGTGGTGGACTGGAAGCTGATGTACTTCACTCTGCAGAAACATTATCCAATGAAGGAGCAGTACGGCGACACCTTGCACTTTTGCAAACACTGTAGCATCCTCTTCTGGAAGGTAAAAAAAAAACCCACATCTAACAACATGCTTCAGCCTTTTGGAGAACGTTTGTGCAAAGTCAAATTAACCTGTGCCTTTGAAATAGATGGGGTTTTTTTTAACAGTCCTGATAACTGTCCAGAGATCAGAAATGAAAATCAGTTCAAGTATCAAGTTTGCAAAAGGACACGCTGTATATCCTTGGCCAACGAGACAAAACATCCGTTATCTTTAGTTAGACATGAGAAAAGTCTCAGTGACACTCTTGTTCAGTCACACATTCTTTCTCACACTCTCTGTGTTAACACTGCGTTAAATAGCGTCATCAGGATCTAATCCAAAAAATTGAAATGAATACATTGAGGCTGCTGAAAAAGAAAAAAGCCTCAAATTCACTTTTCCAACTCAGTAACATTAGATAAAATACCTGTTTAAACTTCAATCCACTGTAAAAGTTGTCAACGCCCATAACCACTGATGGTATTACGTGCTTAATCCTTTTGATTCCGAATATATTCATGATTTTAACTTGAACTCTCTTACATGTAGGGATCAGTGGTCAAATAATGAACCTTAAATCTGATCTTACGCCATGTGTAAGATGTAATTCTAAAGGGTGTGAGTTTATTACTTCCAGGTAACACTTGTATTTATACAAACTAACTACACTAGGCTGATAAATCACACGGCTTCTACAGTATCCCGCTCCTTGCGATCCTTTACCACCCACAATCTTGTTATCCTCATGCTCTTGGTCCCTATTCTTCTGTAACCTCTGCCCTCTCTGCATCCCTCCTTTCGCTTGTCTCCCCTCTTCCTGCCTCCTCTCCTGGTTCTGTTCCTCCCTGATTCCTTAAGGATCGCCACCTGGCTTTGTTATTCAAGGTACTTTCTGTCCCACCATTCCTTTGTGTTACTACAGTGGCCAGTCCGTCTCCATTTACTCAGATTATCTGATCTATAACTCGTCTTTTTCCTTGTGATAAGCCTTTCCTTTCAATGTTCTCTGTTTCACCTGATCACTATGTGTTGCTCGAAGTGTGTTTAGGAAACAGTGAAACGCTCTGCGGACTTTTTAATGGTGTTTAACCTCATTCTTAGAAAAGGTTATTGTCTGCTCACACATTCCACTGAATGATTAATTCATGTCTTTAAAGTCATTTAGGTTAACACAAATCTTTGTCTCTGTATATCTATACAACCAGGTTGCAACAGCTGTTTTGAAGTGCATCTGTAATGTGTACAAAGTCCTTCAGTTCTTCAGTACCAAATTAGGGTTTGCTAGAGGCAATGTTACATCTTAGCAAGCAAAGATCTACTGTAAGTCATGCTTTTACTTTGAATTTGGCTATTAATAATTTAAAATTTAAGAAAGCCAATAAAAGAATAATTCTCGACCACCACTCTGTCAATATGTTTATTTTTCTCTACCAAATAAGTAAATAGATAGATGCTTATTACATTTCTGTGTAAAATGTAATCATTCAAATATGTAGAGGAAGTAGTATTTCAAAAAATTGAGAGGGATATATAGACAACCCACCAACACCATCCTTATTGTGGAGTAGTAATATTGTTACAATTATGTTACAATGTTACAATTCACTTAGCAGACGCTTTTAGCCAAAAAGACATCAATCAGAGAGTAAATACAACACTAATCCATTCATACACCGCCACCGAAGCGGCGGGAGCAATGCAGGGTTAAGTGTCTTGCCCAAGGACACGTCAGACATGTTGCTCAGCTGGGGATCGAACCCTCGACCTACTTAGAGGCGACGACTCTACCAACTGAGCCACAGCCGCCCTTCACTCGGGGTTCTTGGGTTCTTTTTAGTCAAACATTGTAAGTCGGATTCTTCGTTTAAAAGTACAATGTGTCAGTTTAAGATGCAATTTAAAGGACCTCTGACACATCCTTCAAGTTTCTAGTGCTCTTGTTTGTTTCAAGAGCTTACAATCAGCAGTGGTCTGCTGTAATGTTTAAAGGCATATATGCCCTTTTATTTAATAAGGTTAAAGCCTCTTTAAAGGTTAAAGATTACCATGTCTGTTTCAACGTGACCAGGCCAGAGAGTAGCATCAAAATTCTTACATCACAAACCTAACCAATTCAAACAAATACATCTGTCAATATTACATCATAGTGAACCCAGTATCCTGTTCAAATGCAGTATTAGGTATAGGACAGAAATCCAAAAGCTGAAAAAAAGAAAAGAAAAACAAGGGTACTATTTTCTCAATCCTTTTGAGATAAACACAAATTCCCCCATTTTACTCACCTTGGATGATTAGAGGTCCTTCTGTATGTGTCCTGCATTCTTTTTCCTGGATGTGTTCTAACTCTGGGAACCTAGATTATTGTTAGAGCTTGTTTTTACACATGTATATACACAGTTTTTATTTTGTCTTCTTTTAACCTGGAATACCAAAGTCAGCTGGGATACAGAGATAGCAACTTAGCAGTAATAAAGTGATGACATAACAAAAGGTATAATGTTTTACACATGCAGTTTTTGTAGGTGCTGGCTGAAGTTGAGTGAAGGTGAAAACAAGTGACAGAAATCAAGGGGTTATTTTCCAGATGGGAGGAAAGGGGAAAAAAGTATCTGCATCAAAGCAAGATTTTGAATTCAGCAATCTGATTTCACTCTGCGTAAATCATGTTTTGCGTCATAACATCTTCAAGTTCAGACTAACAGCTGATGCAACCAGCTCCAGTGTCCTTCATCAAGTAGCTGTCTATGAACTGTATGTGTCACTGCTCCACCTGTTTCCTGACCCGACCTCTTTTTAACAATGTATTTGTTTGCTGTGTTTCAGGACTGTGGCCATCCCTGCACAGCCAACGACCCCGACAGCTGCCTCATGCCCATCTCTCCACAGCACTTTATCGACCTCTTCAAGTTCTAAACCTTCGTCATTTTTTTCTTCAAGCTAAGTGGCCGTTTACCTCCGCTCTTGAGTCCGAGAGTGCGTACGAGACCTTGATGTCACCTTTACCCAAATACAAAGGGCTTGAAATGAAAGAGATAACTTTTCTATGTTTTAATTTCCTTACGCACAAATGTTTCCAAGATTTACCGTACATGTTTGTTGCTTTTATGAATGTTATTAATGGGTGAAATGTAAAAGGAACTTCGTTGTTTTCCTGCTTTTCCTCTTGCAGTAAAAAAAAAAAGTTCATTTCTGACGGGACAGAAAAAAATATGTTAATGTTATATGAATATATGAAAGGATTTCAATGTAAAAGATGTTGTAGAGTGTTTATGATAGGAAAGTGATGTTACATAAGGTGTAAGAGGGGTTGTTGTTTTTTTTTACAGATAAGGTCAAAAATTACAGTTTGGAGTTATAAAATTATGTTGAAGGTTTATTTATAGCGTTAAAACTATTCTGCTCTTTTTGTTTCGGTGTTTATTTCCTGCAATAACTGAATGCATGTCCTGTTTTTGTTGAGTCCCTGTTTACATGATTTATGTTGTCCTTTGTGTACTCTTGTTGTGCTCTGTATACAATGGAAGTATGGACATCAAGAAAATAATGTAGAACTCCCTTAACTGTACAAGTTTTATCAGCCATCTGGTGTCCAACCTGTCAAATAACAGAAAAAAAGAAAGGGGAAATGTAAACTTTGGGATGGGAAAAAAAAGTTTTGTACCCTTCCTTCAACTTTTGTAATATTCTTATGCTGTCCCGATACTCTTGATGGTACTATAATGACTTTACCGGGACGTGACCTACTTATACAAAAATTAAATCTTTCTATAAACCTGTGTCTCGTCTTCATTTCATGTTGCATCTTGGGAGAAGTCTTATCCTTCGTATACAGAAGTTTCTACTCCTTGGATTTGGCTACAAATGTCTGTCCACCAAAAACAGCGAGGATATGTTTTTGTTTGTCTTTGAAAATTGGAGCAAAGGTATGTGATTAATATCACAAGATATTCCAGCTCTGATGTAGCAGTCTCATGTTTTATAAATGTAGTTAAATAAGAAAGTAAAGTGATGTTCACAGGTCTACATTTTTGGAAAAACGTGTAAAAATAAAAGGAAGGTTATAGAAGTGTAAGGCAAAGTGTTCTTTCCTGAGCTTTACTTTCAGCAGTAGTAAATCCCTACAGATAACAATAATAATACAAATAACTTTTATTTATAAATGCTGAAGGTAGGTGATAGAGAATCCCAGTAGGCATACAATCATTCCTGGCTGCAAAGTGTTGAAATAAAAGAGTCAGACTTTGAGACTAAATCTTTATTCTACTTTAAGAAATGTGTCCCAGGAAGTTGGCTTTGCAGTACATCTCTGTACACTTCTGTTTGTAGTGAAGCAACCATAGGAAAAATAATGTAGTAAAAAGTTTGAATCTAAAACAAAGAAAAGGAAGCAGACACTATCATTTTCCTATTCACCTAAAGGAAAAATCTAATCATTGTGGAAATGAAATGACTACGTAGTCTCAGTTAATACAATATAAAGATATGCAAACAGCATCAAAGAACTGCCTCACCCAGGAAGTGAATGCAGCACAGATGCATGCTGGGTTGACCTGCCTGCAGCTTCACAGAGTGTAATAAGAACAGCAGGTGTGCAGTCAGGATGATTTGGTCTGATTGAAATATACAACAAACACATGAAGTTTCTATTGATATAAGGCACTTCTTAGGTACAAGCATGGACTCAGCAGCTTCTTTGTGGGGTGGGAGTAAAAAAGAGTTCATCCTCTATCTTTTCTTTACTAAAATTTTATAAATGTCCTGCATCAGATTTACAAATGGCAAATCTATGACACTGAGGGAAGGCTTGGATTTTTTTTTTATTACCCTCACATAATCCAAGCACAACAGAACTTTGTATCCCCTTTGCAAAGCCAAATGTGGATTGTGCATGTCCTACACGAACTCACTTTCTTTTCAGTTCCTCCTTTTCATCACAAACATATGCTTGAATCCAAAAGGGTGCGTTTGTTTGTTTCATGACTGTACAGATTTTAAGTCCATTACTGATGTATAAATCAAGGCGTCAGGCCAGATGTGACCGCATAGACAGACAGTAAGTGAAAAACTACCATAAAGGTCTTCAGTAGCACATTTGCATAATTATTTTCTAGAATAATGAGGCGATAAAATGAAAATCAGGCTTCTCATTCATTGGAAATATACCATATTTCAATGCCAGGCCAGTGGATATCACAGTTTAAAGGGTACAGTAGTTTATGGCTTTCATTTGTTGTCCTTTACAGTTCATGTCGGTGTTGTGAATTTGGCATAAAGCCCATTGAAAAACAGACAAATGTTGCCTTCAAGGAATTGAAAGCTAATAGAATGACAAACTCTTTGTGTCATTTTTAGGCTTTTACCAGAGCATCCTAAAACCAGTCAACTTCAACAGCGGTTCAGTCCAGACACAAGCAGATATTTTGTTCATGTCTTCATCCTCTTTACTGATGTTTATCAGGTACAAAGGGACGGATCTCTAAGGTTAACATCTCTACTATTTGAACCCCTCCCACGCCCCCTCTGACACAATCCCTCTGCTCATCCTGCTGATGCCAGCCAGCTTGACTTTGGCACGGGATGTCCACGTTATGGCAGCAGCTGAATCCTTGGAGTCTGTCAGGTTAGCATAGCGGGATGAATCCTCCTCAAGACCCTGCCCTCCCCAGGAAGCTATTTCTAACGGGAGGTTTAGAGAGTCTGAGAAAGACACTGGCAAGTCCACCTTCTTGCTATTGTCATTCTGGGCTTCGTCGGTCACAGTCTCAGTTGGGTTAGCCAGTTGTGGCGGCTCCCAGCCCTCCATCTTCTCCAGTTTTTTTGCAGGTGAGATCTGCCTCATGGTCATTGTAACGCTCTCCCAGAAACAATGGCCCTTCTCTTGTTTGTCCTTCTTTTCTTTCTCTTTCTCATCGTCCTTCATTTTCTTGTGGGACCTTCAGAAGAAAAAGAGTAGAAAAGGAGAAAGAGTTAACTGATTACATCTAAAACACTGGGTTTGTTTGCCATTTACTTACTATAGAGATTAGAACATTCCCCAAGCTAAAAGACATTTTATAGGCATTCCCCCTCATTTTTCAGAGGGGAAATTCATTTAGGTTTTCCTCTTCATACATGTTCCTCAAGGAAGTAGAACCACCAGTGGTTGTACGTGACTCCACTAAGTAATAGTCTAGTTCATTCACATTTTTCTTCTCACACTTGACAATTACTAGCCAATATTCCCATTCACGACGTAAAACAGAAACGATCGGGGCAGATCTGACACATCTAAATTCAGTTAGTGGAAAAGTTGTGATCAATTTTCACTTTTATTATTTTTAGGGCGAGGGGAAACTGAGAATGCTCTGATACATACTTTTAAGTAAAGTGAAGTTAAAGGTAAATCTGTAAAACCTCATGCAATCCAATAAACAGCACTGCCACATTTTATTACTTCCCAAAGCCTGAAGTGGCCAATTTGTACTAAAACTTTCTTAAAGATGTTATGTCAACTTTTCACTTATGACCGAGGTTGTGGTCAGATTGGGTTTTGTTGCACGGCATAATGTTAAAATGTATTATAATAGACCACCTTACTGTATGTTTGTAGAACTGATTGCAAATCATTAGAAACCCCTCCTTAACAAAGGCAGTCCAGTTCAAAACTACTTACTACAACCTCAAATTACAGAAGTGTCAATAAAAAACTGAACATTGTTAATTAAGAAGTTTAAATTAATGGTTGGTCTACTAAATTGGATAGCATTTGATAGGTGTTTCTAATGAAGTAGCCACTGAGTGTATTTGAATTTAATTTCATACACACAGACAAATTCAATTGGGTTACCATGGTGACCTGTTCATTGGCAGTTCATCTTTTGGTAAGCTTTAACAGCAGAGAACCTCAGCTGTTTTTTGATTGATGTTTAATATTTGGTCATATTACTTTAATTGTGTATATACTGGCCTTTTCATTCATTTTAAGCGCATCAGACCATCAAAACATGTTTGAAGAGTGTGACAAATGACCTATCAGCTAATTCCGACAGCAAACGCATTCTGCAGGGAATTTCTGCAACTAATTCCCTGTAATGGGAACACACCGCTCTTTTTTGCCTTTTGGGGGCCATCTCTTGCAACTTCTACATGTCTCCACCTCACCGCTCATGTCCTGATTCACCAATCAGATGTCCTTACATGGGGAGATGGGGACGTGGTAGTATGCTGACTGCAGGTTGCGGGCACACGTCTTGCGATTTGGGATGATTCTGATTCACTAACATACGCATGGTGGTGAAAACAAAATTGGCCAGTACGCACGTGTCATGAATCAGACAGTGATTTTGCATATGCACTTTTTATGCGCAGAGTAAGAACATTCATACGCATATATTAGTGAATGAGGCCCATTGAGTGTTCGTACTATACACTCAAAGAAGGTTCAAAGTATAATACCCTCTACATATGATTAAGATAATCTTCCTCACATGCTTGGGATGTAAAACAAGGAGTATACTGTACATGTAAGGTCAAACATGTTCTTGTGTAATCTTACCCTCTGCGGTCAGGCAGCTTCATTCCAGTCAACAAGAAGTGCTCATCATCTTTAGAGGAGAACATCTTCTTCTCCCTCCTCTCTTTTTTCAACATGATCTTCTTCACCTTTGCTTCCTGACAGAAAAAAGACAGAATGGCTTTTTATTTTTTTTATCTCATAGCTAATCTCTTCATCTGTTGCATGTTGGCTTATCATATCTGGTGCATATTTTGTGAGTGATTTAAAACTTTGTTAAATCTGGTTTAATTAAATCAACTTCACTGGAACTTAGAAAAACATTAGCCTGAAATCAACACAGGTTGATATTCATGAATGTGCATTATTTTAATTCTATCTTGGGCTTCAGTAGCTTTGAACTAATGAAACATGCACAGCTTACGTTTTAATTCTTATGCATGAAACGTTCTGTTCCAAACCCCTCTTTTCAAGTTAACAAAAATAAAATGAATCTCATTCGTAGGTACAGTAGAAAGAGGGTTTTCAGCAGCCCAATCAACCTTAAAGGAATAGTTTAATGTATACATGAAACGTTTGTGGAAAGTTAAAAAATAAGTTTGACACCACTTTATGACTGTACGGTTAGCTTAGCAGCTGGTTAGCTTAGCTGAGTGAATACAGGGGGAACCTGCCAGCCTAACCACATAAACATGAAGCACCATTTGGTTCTCGCTGCCTAATCACCATGCATACTGGGAAGTTTAGCGAAACACAAAGGACAGCTAGTCTACTAGGTAACCACATCTGCTTAGACCACAGCTCACAAGCAAGCACGTTTTATTTCATGATAACCATCGACTAGCTTTAGCTTAGTTTCTACACTGTAGAAGAAAAGTTGGGTAAAACTGTGCATCGATTTCTTGGCAAGTAAAATTATAGGTGTATTGTCATTACATTTTAAATTTTTCCTTACAGATAAATAAATGCAAGGAATTATATGAACAGCTTGTCTTGCTACTTACAAAAAAAAACACCTTAAAACCAAAGATTAGACAGATAGATACAAACATTAAGCACATTCCAGCAAAAGCCCATATCCTCCCTCTGAAACTCCCTCAGTCTCCCCCGTCACACCAGAATTCTTCCCTGCCCTCGCACAGCTTGATACCGCCCTCCACATGGAGGAACAAACTTTTGGCTCCATTTCTCTCCATGCCTTGGAAGAATTTCAATGTCAATTGTCAAGGTCATACCGCTTACTGTTACACACCCGTGCCTGATTTGGCCGTACCAGTATCAAAAAATTCTCAGACCATTTTTTGATGACTGCAGCTGACCTTGTGAACCCATGTACACTGCCTCTTTTGTTTATGTATTTAACCTATCGCGGATGTGTTCAATTCAAAGCACAGCATGCATGTAGAACACAAACACATGTGCTTTATCTCCCCTGTTGTTTTCTCTGAGTTCAAGATCAGAGAATGTGAAAACAGCTAAAACAAGCGAACAAAAAGCTTGACATGAAAGCTGTCATCTCTCAAACTAAACAGGAACATGTATAATAAGATATGTCATCGGTTCTGAGATTACACTTCACAAGCCAAGTTGAGATAAAATGAACTCAAACAAAAGGGTTTGTCCTTCATGCCAGTGGTTCCCAAGCAGACAGAGCCTTGCGCAGCCCGGACCCCAGGTTGGGAACAAATGCTTTATGCAACACTCATAAACACACATGATCTCTTGTCACATTAACACTATGTGACATTTGATGGATTGGTTAACTCAGCCAATTTTCAGTATCTCAAAAGGAGACAGGCAGTGCTGCTGATAAAGGAAAAATGCAATCCTCCCCTTGCCTCTCATCATGGACATGCCCGAGGGTAAAACACTGGCAGTTTCATGGAGTTTATTATCACCAAAATATTTCCATTTACGTTAGTCTATGCTAGTTCACCCCCGTCTCTACCGTTTCTTTCTCCCTCCTCTCTCTGCTTCTTATTTCCTGTGTGCCGCGAAGTGTAAACCGTGGATCAGATTTGCTGCAGTTTGAAACCAGAGATGCCAAAACAGATTGAGTGCATATATGTGTTTACTAAATTCCAGCTGTATCTCTGCATGCGTGTTTGCACATACAGAGGCCAGCCTATTCACCATTCTCCTCAGCTTTAACCTCAGGGGCCTCTAGATCCAAAGCAGCTCAGAGGCAGCTAATCTCTCCCGCCAAAAAGTAGGTAAACCTAGCAGCTCACAGAGGCCCGCTGTGTGGGGGAGCTTTACCTGAAGCTCCACGCCTGGCCGAACAATACAGCTATTATTGGACCAAATTCTTCCATTTGTGCCCCATTGATGGAAACTGGGAGATTAAAGAGGCATTTGAGTTTGGAAATATAACTTGTTATAGACAGTTTTTTTGAGACAGAAACCTGGTCAAACTTCGGATATCGGTACTTTAATGGGCGGAGTTACTCATTTCATGACTTTTCGCTTCTTCCTCTTTATTATGTCGTTCTTTTTTATAAATAAGTTGATCATTTAGTCTTTGAACAATCTTTAACCATCTCTGTGGACTAGCTGAAGAGAGGGCTGGTATGGGTAGCCATCAGTTGTATAGATGCCGACAGTCCAAACTCCTGAATCTCAGCAAAGCATAACAAAAGAATGCAAGAGCAATTTCATTGGTTGATTGGTTCAAGTCAAGAAACAACAAACATGAAAGTGTTTGAAGGACTAGGGGCAGATTCCAGGGGTTGCCTTCACAATCTTTGAAATCCAGATGGCCACCCCCCTTTTGGTGCTTTCACAAATGCACAACAACGTCCAGAAATTTTCTGGCTGAGCTGTATGTGTGAACGCAAACGCTGCGAGTGAGTGACAGAGAATAAGGACATTTATATCCTGCTACCAGCACACAACCACAGACTGTATTTGTGTGTACGATTTGTGTTCCATGTTGTAATGAAACTGCTTCATTATTTTTTCTGTTTAGCAGTGTGTTTTTCTCTGCTCTTTTCGTGATATCATTAATATGTCGAACTCTATGTAGCTCTGATATACTTGGATCTAAAGGAAAAATCATCATAGCAACGAAGAGACATTTGTCATCCACCATATTCATGTTGTTCTTTTAACGTCTGTTAAAATGATTATTATTCTGACTGTGTTGCAACCGAATGCTATAGCTTTCTTTGCGTTTCATTGCAGCAAATTCCCGTTTGTTAGTACTTGAAGTTTTGACATTGACCAAACATCATCTTTTTCAGTCCTTAGAGAATTAAGTTAAGATGATTTATATGGTGCCATTACATGCTAGTGTAGATCAAAGGGGTTGCTATATGTATGCACAAAAACATTGTGCCATTCTTGCCTGCGTTGGGGCTACCCCAGTCAAAAGAAATCTAATCTTTTTCCCAGAGGAACTTCCAGAGAGACAAACAGCAACTTCAAAACTGAGAATTTGAAACTTGTCAGTTATCACGATCATCTTGATAAATGACTGGAACTAGTTCAATAAAATGTTTTTTTCTTTTATGCCATGAGTTAGCTATCAATCAGTTCAATAAAAAAACAGCTTGTACAAAGAAAACTACAAAAAAAAAAGTAAAACGTCTTTCGGTTATACAGAGCATTTGCTAGTAGCGGGGCAGGCTGTTTGCCTCTATTCCCAGTCTTTAGGCTAAGCCAAGCTTTTTTATTTTACTTACTTCATTAATCCCCGAGGGAAAATTCGGTTATTACACTCAGTTATTGAGAGACATGCTTCTCATACACTTAGGCCCGGACACAATCCGGCCACTAACTGACTGCTTACGGGTCCAACTACTTACCGACTTATTATTCAATACTAAAATTAAATATCAGGCATGTTTCAGTAAGCCTGTTTTTTTGAGTTATATATTAAAATAAGTTTTTTACAGCACCATAAAATAAATCTCATTCTATCTAGAAATGGAGTTGGCCTTTTACATTGAAAGGTAACCTCCATGTCCAGGACTCTGTACTTAGTGTGTCCTAATATGAGCATATAACGACGACAGTGGAAGAATTGTAGACTTGCACAGTGTCAGAGCGTTCTGTGGCTATTTTCAGCCTTGTTTTTCTTTCACGGTGATTGTTCCCATCCAAAAGGCCGGCTCCTCGAAAGAATGCTGCGTTTCCTTCCTCTCAGGCCCAGCCACTCTTATCCTCACAAACAGGACAGGTTGTGAAATACGTCCTATGAACTGAGTCACCTACATGGGCTTTACATACAGGAGGAAAGCAGCCACAGTTCAGAGACAAATACAGTGTTTGAGGTTATACTCGAGCTTTAGATGGTCAGAAGAGTTCAGGCACAACCAGACCTCTGAGTAAAGACTTGTTGTCGGTACAGATTGGGAGATTTTACATATTACACAAAGCACTTTATCTCAAACACAAGTTGCTTGGAATGAGCACAATAGCAGATAAAGCTGCTGCAAACACAAAGGCCACAAGAATCTTTCACAACCAGAATCGATATGACTTTCAGCCAAATTTAACCTTTGTTATGCAAAACTTTAACGTAAAAAAAAAAAGTGTACTTTAACTCCTTGGATCACTCGCTTTTACTGAGTCTGAAACAATCAAAGGTCAGTTATAGGTTGTTTACCAAAAGCTGGATTAGGAGAACCCGTCAGTAAATCCATCATTTAGTATCAGTTCACCGTCTGAATTCTTCTACTTAATGCTTGATATTTACTATTGTTACATCATTATCAGACAATATCTGAACCAGGTTACACTTTAAAACTATATCGTCTCTCAGATTGTAAAGAGTGTCATGTTAAAATTGGTTGCCAGTATACATGAAGCCAGTCATGAGCAATCAACTGAGTTGACAGAAAGTAGAATACAAAGCTTTAACATGAATGCCAAAAGCAGTTTGAAACCAGTTAGTAAACCAAAATTACCCTTTAAGTATTTAACCTATAGATTTTAGTGAATTTCAACACAGCCTGAAAATGTGCATTGTGGGATAAGGGTGAAAGTATGAGAACACCCATAACAGCAAACAAGACAGTCATCCAGTGATAAGGTTAAAGATAACTGAGGGGGTGACCGTTGAGGGCCTTGTGTTTACAGATAAACACTGCAGTCGTCTGACCGTCCTGCTTTACCTCAGCCCGACCATGAAAGACTTTATATGTTTGTTTATCAGGAACATTGGTTAAAGGATGAAGAAAGTTCTGGAGAAACAGGATTGATTTGTTTAGGTTTACACAACATGTTTTTGTGAGCGTATGAAATGAATACAGTCGATGTGTGAGAAGATAAGGGCACAAGAGGCGACTCATAACTTCACAAATAGTGTGTTTGTGTTGGGTCCAACTAGCTCTGAAGTTGTGTTGTTTACCTTGGATACTGCATTCCCAGCTTCCTCCTCCTCTTCCTCTCCTTCTATGTCTTTATCCTGAGACACAGAAACGCACACACAGACACACAGAGCAGCAGTGAGTTAACACAAATAGCAACTCCCAAACAAAACACAGAGCGTCCACACTTTGCAGCAGGCATGTGTATGTAAGGAGTATGTGCTGGTCTTCCTGTAGAAGAGAGGTTAGCTTGCTGTCGAGTAAGCTTGCAGCAGGATGGATGGACGGATGGGTGGATGGAGTGCTGCAATTACACAGCATGACTCCATGTGTATATACAAGAGGAAATATTTTTGTTTTGCTAAGCGTCCGTTTTCAAGCTTTGTCTTCCGTTCAGCATGTATAAAAATGACTTTATATTCATTGTTTCTATTATTTTATGTAAAGCTCTTTGTTGCTGTTCTTAAGTGCTCTAATTCTTATAATAAAAGTCATAATGATTCATGAATACCAAGACATGTAGGTCTGAGTTTTGGACCAAGGTCAAATACATTTTATTTTTTAAAGATTTATTTTTTTGGCTTTTGATTGTATTTATTACAGATAGGAGGATTGATAACGTAGGAAATCTAGAGAGAGAGAGTAGGGAATGACATGCAGGAGGGGAGATGCAGGTCAGACTTGAACCCGGGCTGCCTGATTGGAGGCTTATAGCCTCCGTTCATGGGCCGCGATGGCTAGACCATCATCAACACCCTTAAAGAATAGGTTTTAACTGGACGTAAAGCTACCATGAGGAACTTCTGGTTTGCATTGAGTTTGGTGACCCCTGTGGACAAAGTGATACCTCCTAACTCCTTGCTGATCCTGTCCTGTTCATGTGAAAGTAGTGTTTCCTGATGAGAAGCTCATCCTACTGTCTTTTAACAATCAATCATGCCAGTCACTGTTAATCTTTGCTGTGGAAATGTAAAGAAAGGCTTTTCTGCAGTGTGCTGATACTTCATTTGACACCAACCCGGAGGTAGGGGCCGGAGCCATTGAAATGAATCATCTACAAATGATCAACCTTGTCGCTGATGATCTTGTTTGGTTTTAGGTGACACAGAGGTATCAGTATTAATTTTAGTCTTTTTTTCTCAGCTGGGTAAAAATTCCCACCTGCAATGATACACTGACACACAAGTCTACACTGTCATCGTCTCACATCACATACATTCGCTACATTGCAGCTGCCCCGTTGTTCTTTAAAACCACCTTTGTTTTATTGTACACAGTGTATACAGTGTAATGACAATAAAGTTGAATCTAATTTAATTACAATCATTTGACTCTGCTAAGCACTCGCCTCAAGAGTTGAAGCAGTAGTATCGTGTCAAGTCTTGTCCTGATAAAATCCCTGAACAAAGACGAGAAGTAAAGCCATTCAAAGCAACACACCTTGAATTTGAGGAGTTTGTCTCTCTCTTTGTGAAATTAATAGTCAGAGACAGACACAGAGTTGAGAAACTTTGACGACTTTTTTAAACTTTTATTTATAGCCCCGGAAGAATGTATATTGACATCATTACAAATAAAATGCGCAATGGGTCGGGGGACGAAAATGATCCCCCCCTCTGTACTGTCTACAGCGTAGAAACTGTAAGCAGCAGAGCCAGCGGGGCTGGCGGGAGCGCGGGAGTGTGTGTGTGTGTGTGTGCATGTCTGACTGTGTTTGTATGTGGAGCTCCTGCTGTGCCTTGCTTCAGCAACCCCGAAACTTGATGTGAAATTCACAGACTGGAACCCCAATATGAGGTTGTCTATATTTATACACATAGCTTATAGTATTACAGATCCTTGAGGCTATATGCTCCTAAAATTGAACATATTTTGGCAAGAAATTAGTTAGGAGAATTCTCATTTATTAGTAATGTATTGACAATATTGACTGGATTCATTTTCGTAACATGCACTTAACCTATAAAGATTTATGGCTGGCTTTAGACTAGCTCCAAAAGACTTAAAAACATTTAATCATAAGAAGAAGGGAGAGAGAAACCATCAGATGTTCAGCTGAACCTGAGACTACAGAAGTGGAGCCAGATTTACTGTAAAGTTATCAAAGCTGTAAGAACTTCTCACATCTAACGACTCCATGAGAGAGAGAGAGAGAGAGAGAGAGAGAGAGAGAGAGAGGTGGTCGGACATGTCTGAGCAAAGTCTGCTGAGTCTCCGCCACCTGAGCTGATCAAAGACACACTCAAACACACTCTCACACAAGTTTGCTGACTACTGTGTGAACGTAAAAGCATTCGGAACAAAGAAAGAGAGAGGAGAGGAGAGGAGAGGAGAGGAGAGGGAGGAATCAGGGAAAGAGACTGTACTGTAGAGCTTTCACACCTCGGGGGGTGGGTTTTTTTTTTCCTCTGTCTTTCTTTCTCTCTCTGGCTGAGCCTGTGCGCTAGTGTGTAAATTTTAGTAGCTAAGTGCTGTCTTTAAAAAGGCCAGATTACTAGGCAATAAAGACGCAGCGTGAATTTCAACACCACATTACCAGTTGTAGTTTCCAAAAGCCAACGCACCAACAAAAACAAAAAGCCCAGAGGACTCAGGAACTATTTTTTCCCAGCAGTGCTGCCTTACTTTTTACTAAAAATGAGTCCTAGATCGTTCTTTTTTTTTCTAAATAGTTCGGCATTTTGTGAAACATGACTTTTTGTGGAAAGTTAGATGATAAGATTGAAAGCGCTCTTTTATCTCTTTGCTAAAGTAAACATGAAGCTACAGAGCTAGGCGTTAGCTACATGAGTTTAGTATAAAGACAGGAAACATTTGCCAGTCATGGTCGACATGCAGCATTGCATTTGTAAGCAGATGATTGACTTACTACCTACATTGACTTATTTTATTCCAATAGGGTTTTACAAGAGTAGCATTGAGTTGCAATGAGTTGGACCAAGTCATGCTAGTATAGTTTGTGTCTGTCTTTATGCTAAGCTATGCTATGCTATGCTAACTGTTCCTATAGCTGCAGTTTCAAATGAATAAACATGAGTACTATCAGCCTAATAAAGAGAAAGAGAAAGATAAACTTTATTGATCCCATATTGGGGGAAATGTATTTGTTACAACAGCTCAAAAACAGTAGTATAATTAGTAATCAACAATAAATAAAAAAAATTTGATAATATGATGATGTGGTTTGAACTTTTAAGACAAAGCTCCCAAATGTTACCCTTTCCCACTTGAACAGATGATCCGCTCAGCTTTATCTTTCCTCTCCTCACCACTAATGATTTAGATGAGAGGTCGTCTGAAGGTTGTGCTCAGACCTGATCTGTACTCTTGTGATCCAACTTCAGAAAGAGCGTCCTGGCAGCAGGATTACCATGTTGTTATTGAAGTATTCAGGTGTGTTAGCCCTTTAAACCATAGACAAACAGACACACGCAACCTCCTGCTAGCTCACAGCTGCCTTTTACAGCCTGTTGAACTTAGAGAGAGTGGTGGGAGAGAAAGCTGCGGCACAGGGCCTGCACTGTAGTCGCCCCTAAGCACTGTCGAGGGGGTGCAGATATTAACATCAAATCCTGCATTTCATGCTCTCTCTCTCTTTCCCCCCCTTTGTGCGTATGAATGTTTTATCCCTTTAAACTGTCCTGTCTCTGTCTGTCTGCCTGCTGGTCTTTGTCTGAGTCTGTCTTTATGGGTAACCCAGTGGTAAAGTTTGAATTAATTTGCCTGGCACGACATGTAAATCGTTTATTCTGCCATAAAACATTAACAGAGATAACAGGAAGTGGAAAAGAAAGGGACTGAGTGTTTTTTAAAGACTATAAAAATAACATTTTCATCAAGAAAACATACTTTGTATTTGTATGCAAAAAAAAAGATTGGCTAATGAAGGGACATGTGATGAGGAACAAGGAAGTGTTGGTGTTGTGTTGCGGAACAATGTGGATGACAGTAAAGTGCTGCTGAGAAAGTTATCCGTCTCCATCCTTCTGTTTCTCTTAACTAGAGTGATCCATCCAGCACACATCGGACCCTCACGTTACATTAGTACCCATGAGCAAGGCCCCCACCCTCACTGCTCATGTACCCATGCCCAGCAATAAAAACACTAGACGTGTTTGTTCTGAGTGTAGGTATGGTATGAATTTGTGAGGAAGCTGTTTTTTTAAGGAAAACCACAAAAACTCTCCCGGATAAAAAAAAAAAAAAAAGGGAGGAAAACAGGATTTGGTAAATAAGTATTTTAGTGTAAAGCATCAACACCACAAAGGAAACACATTGAGTCACATCAACACTTTCTGACAAAAAAAGTAAAAACTAATATTTATACATATACATATTCTGTATGTGCTATATGTGTCTCTGCTTTTTCCTTGCCCTGGTTCAAGTTGTCCAAATATCAAAATCATTATCTGCATCTGCCTCCAATACTGCCTGAAAAGTATGAAAGTCAAGGTTGACCATCTGATACATAATCACATAGTCCCTAAAAAAATCAACTGGCTTAAGGTACAATTTTCACAACAGTACAGTAACAGTAACAGTAACAGTGTGGTCCGAGCAAAAAGTGTATTGTAGTTCAAGGCTAGCAAATTTCAACAGATTCCACAAAATGATGTACATTAAAAAAAATCAAACTATTGGCCAATACTCAAGTTTAGGTAAGGGAATTGGAATCCAGACGGAAATATGGTATCAGCACATCTCTACTTACGAGTTGACTACCTACACAGTGTTCCTGTGCTATACTTTCCCCCTCATAAAAACATTCATTTGATTATTTTTATTTACAAATAATATAAAGAAACATAACTGACACTTATTTTTGATGACAGGTTAATAGCATTAGTCAGTCTTTCAGCAAAGAGGACAGAAACTGTTATCAGCTCCGAAACTGTAAAGATTTGCAGCTTTTATTTGTATTTCAGAAAATAAATTGTAGCCTATATATTTTAATGTTTGATTGCTGGTTAGACAGAAGATTTAATATGTCAACCTGGATTGGACGATTCATTGGTTACTCAGCAAATTAATTGGCAGAGTAGTGAACATTTAAAGTCATCTGTATTCTTCACCCTAACATCTTTCAACTTAAACTAAATGAATGATGCTTTTAAGTTCATTACTCAGTTTTCTCATTCAGTCAGATTTTATTATTATTAGTTTTGACCCCTCCAAAAGTCTACAAAAAAGGCTAAGAGGTGTTCATGCAATATGACCACAAAAAAAGATGTCTTTGATAATCTATCTCTTCTCCTCTCACTGTGAGAGGTAGATCAGGGTAGATAGTATAAGAATATTTGGAGGGAAGGAAAAGCCTGCATGTCCAGACTGTGTAATCATGATTTGTGATCCTTGTTTCATCCTGTATCACTGCAAGTACGTCTCTGACTCTCTCTCCTCTGTGTTTAACATTTTATGATCCGACCTCTGACCCCTGGATGTACTTCATTGCCACGGCAACAGGAGGAGACCTCCCTGATGACTCTCCCAGGAATTCCGGGGAGACCCTTCTAGTCTGATCTCAGATCAGCTCTTAGTGCCAAAGCAATTCTGCTGGCTAGTAAAACCGAAGTAAAAAAACTCAACTCTGTGCAGCTCTTCAGGGGATAGGGCCACATGCGTTGCTTCCCAGGGTGCATGTGAAGACAGGATAATAAATCCCAGCTAAAGGTCACAGATCAAAACATTATAACAACAACAGATGAAAAATGATGGGAAATGCTGTTGGTTGATCTTCTCTGACACATATATGCTGATTTTTAAAATGTAACTTCTATATAGATTGTATTATAAACAAAAACATTAACTTTTTTATGTATCACTGTATTGTACCCCCCATCCAAATGTACAGTGGCTGTTCTCCTCAAAGGGGGTGGGGAGGGGGGGGGCTGGGTTTGAATCCGACCTATGGCACCTTACAGCATGTCATTCCCCACTCTCTCTCTCTCTCTCTCTCTCGCTCTCTCTTTACAATTTCTGACTCTGTCCACTGTCCTGTCTCTCTAACAAAGACATAAAAAGCCCTAAAATCAAACAAATGAACATTTTTTGTGGAGTATTTAAGTTTATTTCGTAAACCTCTAAATGCATTCATGTTTTTGTATACTCTATTAAAACTTTTTAAAGAAGCATTTCATAAGCCAAAAGCATGATGCCTCCAACATGAAGTAGATCACATGGCCAGGTTTTACTGTCAATCAAAGCAAAATTAAGAAACTGCAGTTGCCAGATGTTGTTTCTTTTTGCTCTTCACAAGTTACATCAGAGCACATTGAAGAGAATTAAGAAGCTGGAGTAATAAACATGTCAGCTCCCTATTTCATCAGAGACAGGACTGCTGGATGTCTTTACCCTGTGTATGTGTGTTGAATGTCTTATCTTGGATTCTCACATCTTGACAGAGTCCAGCTGTTCGCAAAAGCTGTTATGGAGAATACAGAGATAGACCTCACACACCGCGGCTCACCTGAGTAAGCGTTCGTGCATTTGGGAGTGTGTTTGTGTCATGAGTGTTTTCCAATCTATCATTTTCCAATAACCCTGAAGATGATACTCAGTATCACCAATAAAGAAAACTCCAGGTGCTGTTTATCCAAACTTCAGGACACGATTAGGTTACATGTTGTAATCTATTTCTACAAATTGATTTAAATTGGTTTTGTTTGCAAAGTGCTCAATGACATTTGACTTTTGCAAATTTAAAAATTCATTTCTTTATTGTAAAACAGCCAAATTCCTAAATTTTACACGAAAAAAGAAACAGCCTTTTCCATTTTAGAAGCATATTTGATATCAGTTTCAAAGTATTGTTTTGCAATGTGTTGTGTTTGCTTCTTTTGGGGAGATAACGGGCTGTCTCTTCTTTGACCTTAGTCTCCTCCTCAGCTGACATAACATTTTGAGTTTGAGCACTTGTCCTCCTCCTCCTCCTCCTCCTCCTCCTCCCTCTGCATCACAATCTCGTTTTGACAGTGTGAGACACCTTCAGGAAGTTTATCAGTTTTCACAAGAGACATTTCTTTTTTTTAAACAGTTGGATTAGTTTCACATTGTGTGTTTTACAGTTCGCAGAAATGATCATTTAATAGGATATAGTGTTTATTTTTATTTAATCAACGGTCTAAAATTTTTGCCTATACACTTTAGGACTTTTGAAAATTCCAAAACAAGTTATTTTAATTGTTTTTTCTTCAAATAGTTGGGGAAATTGTCTCATTTTGCTGTGAGCTTTTTAGCCTTTTATTCTGACACTTTTGAAAACAAGTGAAACCTGCTGGTTGGATATTACACATGAAACCTTACTACACGTTAGCCCTTTTTTAAATCCGTCTGTCTATGGAAAGACACCAGACATGATTTGATTTTCATTATTATCAGTGACTTGTTGGAGTTTCCTCTCCATCCGTCTTCTTACCTTGTAGGAGTGATGATAGTGCCAGGACATGTCGTCTTCCTCTGACGCATAATCCACCAGCACTTTACTCTTGCTTTTCTTGAACATAGCTCCACTTGACGCTGGAACAAGCCGCCTTGCACTTGTTCGGAAAAAGTTGGCTTCTTTGGTTAAAAAAATAAATAAATCTACAAGTGAACCCTGGAAAAATACTCGCTCCTGTTCGGTCCGTTTTTCCTCCGACGCACCACCGAAGCTGCAGATCCCGGAGGCTTGCTTTCTTTGAAAACAGATTTCTCACTTACACAGGTTGCTTACCAGGAGCTTCAGGGTCGAGCTGTTTCAATAATGTCGCTCACTTCTTCCTAATGTTTGGTGCGTTTTTTTTTTTTTTTAACGCAGATTCGACCACCTGGACCTCAAATAGTAGCTCCGCCCACACACCCCTCCTCAGCTCCGGGTCCTTGAAGTTGCCATGGTAGACGGAGGAAGGGGTCATACGTCTCACCTCCAGCCAATAAAAGCTCTGAACACTTATGCAAAATAATGTAACGTTATGTTATCTCCCTCGACTGAGTTTGAATAATGTTGCCTTTTATGTTGCATTATTATGTCTTACCAATGGAAAAAAGAAAAGTGTAAATCAAGTGTTAGTATTGCTGCTGCTCAAGGTTGGTCTTATTTTAACCACCAAAATGTCATTGAACAGCTCATCATGTTATTTTTTAAAAGCATTCATATAATCTGTAATAATTTCAGTTTACAAAAAGTATCAATAGACAAATGGAGCAACATCAAAAGTTCATAATTTCACCAGTTTTATGAGAGGTGTAATGTTTAGAAAATGGAAAGCGTAAACCACATGTGTAAAAATAGGATACCTTAGTAAATAAACGACTTTCTCACGAATGTCATATAGTTTTACTCCTTAGTGTATTCCTGAACAGAGTAAACCTATATTTTTGGGGGTATGGTGTATATTATGGATTGTCATACCGATCATTTTCATTCTTTCTGAAACATATTGTTTGAAGAAAAAAAAGACAGGAAAACAATCCAAACTTAGGTTGAGTTTATTAACTGTTTTATTCAGTTGTTTTGTTGTGTTTTCTGGGAGTATTTGGGTTCCTTTGATACCTTGCATTATGTCTTTCGTCTTTCGCTCATTCTTCAGGTAAACTTGTCAAAACAGTATTAAGAAAGCTGTGACATCCAAACAAATGGATCATTGTTTTGTTTTGATTTTTATCTCGATGATGATCTGTTGTTTATTGTGGACAAAGGATGTTTGTTGTATCAATTAAAATCCAAAGACCTGTGTTATTGTAATGTCTGTGAGTTCCCACCAAGTCTTTCCTGTTTGGAGAATGAATGAATTACAGTAATGTGTTTCCAATGTGTTATACAAGAAGTCATGGATTGAACTTCAAATTAAACCTCTCTCTCTCCTCCTCTCTCACTCTCTCTCTCGCTCTCTCTCTCTCTCTCTCTCTCTCTCTCTCTCTCTCTCTCTCTCTCTCTCTCTCTCTCTCGGACCTCTGACGCCCAGGGAAACAAATAACACATTATGCTTCTGGGCTGACCTTAAAATAGCTACAGTTTAGCTGCGGTTAAGACCACTCACCTGATTCAAAGATCCTTATATTCCTGTTTCCATGTCCAAGTAAGTTCAGCCGGGAATGTGGATTGTCAGACATGTACAAACTTATGGGAAAAGTATGACAGAAACACTGTGACTCTGTAAAAGAAAAAATTGAGCTCTGCCTGGAAAAGTCTGGAGACACCTGTTTTCTTTCATCAGTCAAGGTGTTAAGAAAAGTGTGAAATCCTGATCTGGCAGTGTCATAACAGTTTTGATTTGACTGGATGTCGATGTATTCGGTGTCAGCAATTCATTAGTGCCAGCTGACACGAGCCATGACTGGCTGTTAGGACGTGTCCGTCGCCTTTCAAGAGGAAGGCCAGTGACCTTTGACCCTGGAGCTCATCAGTGGGTCAAATGTCCATTAGAGACCCTTCTCTAGGAGGTGTATTCCCACAGTATCTCTGCAGTAGTTATTTACAGATGAAGGCTGCTGATGTGTGTCCCCCTGTTAACCCTTTTGATTGCCTTTGCTTTAAAATGAACAGTTTGTGGTACAAAAAATCCCTAAGCAAAAGTCAAAACATTATACTATCATTGTGTTTAACAGTATTGTCAACATTTATACATTCCTTTATGAGCATATTTTTATGTATGACAAGGGTAATTCTCACTTTTATTTAGCCTTTCACCAGCTTTTGCTCTTGTATGCTCACAGCAGGAGAAAGAAACACTTATATCTGCTGTCAGCTGCAATGTGCACGTGTCATAAACCATATTTTAACGTTATATATCACTTTGTAAAGTTATAGTCTGTATGTGTTTTAATACCATAAAGTGTTTGCATTACTACCTTTAGGGTCATTTTTACCCTGAGGCCCCATTAGTTGGATCATCACAGCTCGCCATGCTGTACTGTGTGTTGTTATGTACTATGTATACTTTTAAGAACGTCTATAGGTGACTCTTGCGTCAGCTGTCGTGTAAGGGGTCAGGTCTGATAGGGTCACACAGTCATGGTGGGGACACAGGTGGGATAATCCAGCCTGTTAACCTTACATGGGAACATTTAATGTACTGTACAGCTTGTTCTGCTGACCCAGACCTGAGGAATGTCCACGACAGTGTGCTTAACTTCTTGATAAATTAACTACTAAGACTAGTGGTTTGACTGTTTCTTTAGTATGACAGCTTTTAAATATTTTGTAAGACCCATAATGAATATTTTGTATTCAATGGAATCACACAGAAAATAAACAACACTCGTTAACGTCCCTGTCTACAGAGCGTTACAGGGCTTTTCAGCTCGTTGTTATGATTTTATGGACAACTACTTTACTATTTAGGTTCTCTCTAACCACTTTCATCTTAAAAGTTTACAGCTGCTGCTTTTTGCTGTAAAATAAATAATCTCAAAGCCTTGTGTACAGCACCAAATGTCCAAGCTTGTGGTGCCAAAAACAGAGGTCAAAGGTCAAAGTGACTTTAAATAGATGAAAATGTTGCTCTTCTAGACCTCTGCTTCAATATTTTGAGAAACTCTCACCTGACGAGGTATTGTAGTAGTACACCTTCGCCTGCCAATACTGATCCTGTCCTCTCGTGCCTGTCCAATTTTCATTATTATTATTTATTTGTTTGGTTATTGTATTTTATTTATTCTTTATTTATTTAAATAAATCTTGTATTTAGAGGTCCATTTGTTGGTCTGGGAGGGTTGTTTACAGGGCGAAGGGATATTGGGTTTTTAAATGTTTCTGAGGAAAAAAGAAAAATGTTGACTGCATCCCAATTGCACTATATGTTTTGAACTTGCTTTCATAAAAATATGTTGGAAAAAAAAAGAAAATGTTGCTCTTCTGGACATGCAAACCAGTGTTTACTCAGCATCACCATATCAGCCTATGGCGATAATAAGGCAGAGCTGTAGCTGTATCCAAGCTGAAAGCAACAATGAGGACTTATCATGTCCTATAAGTATGTACACAATACGTCATACATTCAGGAAATATTTTGAATTCTCCATGTAAAGATAAACGTTTTGTCATCAAACCATTCAGTCTGTAAATGGTCACGCTGGATGGAGTCAGTTGAGATTAAACATGACTCAACATCTATCTGATGAGATTCAAAGGTCATAGGGTTGTCCTGTAAAAACCCACGGGACCACATCACAACTTGTTTGCCAAGAACAGAGATTAAAGCTTTAATTATGTTCACAGGCCAACTCTCAAAGATGTTCCTCAGAGACTCTCTGCTGAGTGCAGCTTTAATGAACATTGGCTACCTTAAGAATTACATAAAACTGGGGGGAAAAAAAGAGTGTAAATCACTGCTCAAATCTGGAGTGTGTGAGCTCATTTTCTTAAAGCGTTTCATTTGTGACCACTGAAGAACATTTAGCAAATCTTCTTTAAGATCAGACACGACAGGTCAGAATATCAAAGCTCTCTTTGATTGATTCATTATTTGCAGCTTTCGGTCAGGAAAAGGGATTGAGAGAAACAGTGTGCTAGACTCAAAAACTTTCCCAGAAGATGTCAAAGGTCGGAGACAGAGACGCTGGGGGAGAGGAGGTGGAAAAGTGAAAAACATCTTGGGGGGTCTTGAAGCTTCAGAGCAGGTAGTTTGGGTGTCAGGCACCTGTGCATGTAAAGTGCAGAGTCATTAGAGCAGCTTTAGTGCAGGAAGCAGAGGAAAGTACGTGCTCTTTTACTCATGCTGCCATGCTTTAAAGTATGACTTTTCCTTCCATTGATTTCTCAACATATTTGAGTTTGGATGGTTTTTTTTATAAACATATCTGGGGACAAATTTTCCATTATTGTATTTCAGTTTTATACCAGTAAGAGACCCTTTTTCAAACAGCATTATAAAAGACTCATAATCAGCTACTTAAGTCCAGTCACAACATGTTGATTTTCACACCTCATCAACTCTGACAGTAGACCTGAAATAGATCGAATGTGTCCTGGCAAACACACATCCTGTGTTTGGTAACAAGGCGCCAGGTAGCATCACGCATTCACGCAGCCCCAGTCAGTCTGTCAATTAGCCAAAAACACAATATTCATGTGTTTAAATACAAACATTAGCACTCATCATTGGTTGCTATTTTACATTTTAAGTTATATGCATTCAGGGTTATATGCATTTATTTGCTTACATGTGTGTTTTATATGTTTGCGTGCTTGACATGTGCTTGTGTTTGCATGTTTGGGGACAGAAAAAAAATAACAAGCTCCTGCACACAAGAGGTGTTTTAATGAGCTCAAGGAAGAGAACACATTTAAATTAGACTAAGCTCTTCCGCTAAAGAAGAGCCCTTAAAATGAGGATATATGTGCTGTGTCACTGAGTACCCCCCCCCCCCCCACACACACACACACACACACACACACACACACACACACACACACACGTACACACAACCGACAGGTAATCCGACAGGCTAAAAAAGGATTTTTGCTTTATCATGCCAGCCAGACGTTGAGTGTAGCAGTGTGTTTTTTTATACCATGAATTACTACAGACAATATTCAGACTGTTTGGAATGAAACCAAATCTTTAAATAATTTTTTTTTTGATTTTTTGTGAAATTAAAATGACATTTTAAAGGAATTAAAATAACTGCTTTGTAAGTAGGATAATTCAATCTGAGTTCTACTAATCAGTGTACTTACATTCTTATCTTTTTAAGTTAAATTGAAAAATCATTCTAAAAGCAAACAACTGGTCATTTACACTTTTATGGAGCATCACTGGAATCACCTAACGAATACAAGCCTTGTCTTTGAGCTCTGTCTTTTGTTTCCACCAACTCCTGAGGGATGGTATCTTGCACTTTGGCAGCTAAGTACTCTATCATCTCTTATAAACTGTGTCTGATGA